GGCGATGGCAATTCTCCCAAATAAAAAAAAAAATTTTTGAAAAACATTGCTTGCTCCCGGCGGGGCTCGAACCCGCGATATTCGGTTCATAAGACCAACGTCCTAACCAACTAGACCACGGGAGCGCACAACCGATTCTAAATATAAAAAATATATACTTTTTAATAGAATTCTTTAATGTTTCTTAGAATTAATGTTTAACCAACGGTCCTATAGTGTAGTGGTTATCACTTCGGACTTTGAATCCGAAAACCCAGGTTCGAATCCTGGTAGGACCATCCTTTTCCTCCATTCACTAAAACTCTTATTACATATATATGATCTTTAAAGAAGATAATCTCTTTAATCATCAGCGTGGGTGATCTAGTGGTTATGATGTCTGCTTTACACGCAGAAAATCGCGGGTTCGAACCCCGCCCCGCGTATGATTTTCTCACAGCTCACAAACTTTTATTACTAATATAAAAATATTTTATTTTTTTATTCATGAACACCAACAGCCCTTCTAGCTCAGTCGGTAGAGCGCACGGCTCTTAACCGTGTGGTCGTGGGTTCGAGCCCCACGGAGGGTGTCTTTTTCCAACTCCACCCCACCCCCTCACTCTCTTCAGGTCGGAGTCCATCCACACGCACCCTTGGTTATCCCTCCGTTTTGCTCGACCCCCACCTCCACCCCACACACAACTGTGATGTTTGATGCAGGGTGCTAACCGTAGTACTGTGGAAATTTCTTTCGTTGTTGTCGTTGTGCTTGCTGTGGTTTTTTGCTTTCTATTTGTGCTGGTCCCTTGCACATACATGAAGCGAGGGAGAAAGAAAGAACGGAAGGGGTGTGTGGAGGATTGGAGTTCTTTTGTTGGTGGATAGGTTCTTGCGTTTATGTTTTAACCTGCTGCTGTTTGTGCTCCATATCATCTTGGAGAGCATCTGTCCCATTAATTAATTGGCGCTTGGGTCTTGGCATTTTAGTCCTTTGGTTGTTTGTGTTTTTCTGGCCAATGGCATGCTGCGTTTCTCTTCTTTCGGTTGTTTGTTTGTTTGTCGCATTCCTCTGTTATCCCTTCACCTTGCTTGGCTCGGGTGTTTTCTCCGCCCACACAGCGCATGCGCTCAGGCAGCTCAGGGTAGAAATGCCGGATTGTGTAGAGCCCACAACGAGCTCAACCCAGGGGACGAATGGGGGGCGAATGGCTCTGCCCCTTTTTTCTTCTGTGGCTTATTTCATTAATCTGCTGAGGCTTGTTTTGCCCATGGCAGGTGGAGGAGTGCTCTCGGATTATTTGTGGAATGGGCTATTTATTCCTCTCTCTCCCTCTCCCTTTTCTTTTTCTTGCTTTCCTTTTTCTCTCACGACGCCTCTGGGAGCATGGCGTGAGACTGCTGGGGTCACTCTGCACACTCCGTATTCCCTGATGAGTGCTGTGGTGCTGGACGCATTTGTGTTCCCCATTGCGGGGAAATTAGAAGTGGACACCCGCACAACAGTCCCGCGCGATTTGGAAGCTGCGAAATGTATTTTTTGCCAAGGTTGAAATATTTCTTAGACCCCTGGGTTCGCCTTCCATCCTCTAAAAGGGGATGTTTTGCCTCTTTATGGTGGCGTTTTGTTCGGCCAAGGCTGAAAGAAAACCCCTTGTCTTAACATTGGGATTTACCGAGAGGAAATGGGGGAACAACATCCGAAAAAAAAAAATTCATGGAATACTTTGGACTTTATTTCCAAAATATTCCCTCCCAAAATTTACTGCGAACTTGGCGTTTTCTTGATGACGCACTGCAGGTGAGTTACGTGCCGTTTATTAATTTAAACCTATATTAAGTAAAAATAAAAAATTAAAAAATATTATAATATTTTATAAATATTAATAAAAAAATCATGTAACTTTTTTTTAATAGTTTTATTGTTAAAGTTTTTTGGTTTTTAAGAATATAAAAATGAATTATTGTACTACGGTTCAAATACAGTAAAATGAAATTTAATCTTTTTCTATTTTTTTTAAGAATTATAATTTATATGACCATCGTGTTCAAGGCAATCGTGGTCCAACGGTCAAGATTTCCGCCTTCCAAGCGGAAGACCCGGGTTCGACTCCCGGCGATTGCATTCCTTTTCTCAGACTTGAAAAGTTATCATTATTGATTGAAAGGTATTTGTATTAAAAAAAAAAAAAAGTTCATTAGTTTCTTTTTGTTTTTACAAGATTATTTTTTTTTTTTTGGATTCTCATCAGAGGCAAGATGGTCGAGTGGTCTAAGACGTGACGTTCAGGTCGTCATCTCTCCGGAGGCGTGGGTTCAAACCCCACTCTTGTCAATAACTTTTTTACACATTTTAATTTTCGTTTTGGAGTTAAAAGGTAAAAGAAAAAAATATATTTTTTTAAAAAAATAAAAACCCCAAAAAAAGACAACGTTGAAGTGTTTTTTTAGAGCCCGCCATGCCGCGGAGACGTTAAAACGCTCGAAAGAGAGGAATTTTGGCTTCCCACCTCCGTGTTTTTTTTTTTTTTTTTTTGGACTTTTCGCCCCCTGCTGCGAATCTTGCCGGGGGTGGTTGGCGCCCGCCCCGGCGTTGGTAACGGTTATGGCTTTCCCGTGGCGGAAAAGAAGATTCAGGCTCCAGGAAAACCCGGGGAAGCAAAACGAATCCATATTCCCTCACTTCCGAGATTTTTTTCGGATCTCTTTTTATTCCTAGCAAATTTTCTTTGCAGCGGTAATGAATAACAAAGTACAATTAATTAATTAATTAATTAAGATTAAATAAAATCAAATGATATAAAAATAAAAAAAAAGAGAAAATAAAAAAAAGAGAAAATAAAAAATGAAAAATTTAAATAATATTTATATATAAGCTTGTGAAAAGAACATACATCTGGATTTGGTCTATGGCAGTCTAGGTTTTCGAGAGGTTGTAATCTTCTTTTTATTAGGGCTAGGTAAGGTTTGAAAGAGTCTCTGGCCAAACAATTAGAAAGGGATTTTTTTTATTTTTTTTTGCGTCCTATCCACCTTCATAGAAAGCCCATCCACTTTCGGGAAGACTGATTATAAAGTAATACCGTAATCTTCCACCTGGTGATTTTTACTGGATGGATCCCACTGCTAGATGATATGGATTTGCTTTATTTTGCCTCATCTCTGTGCATCTTGCTTTTCTAATAAAGTGGTTATGTATTATGTATGGACAAACTGTTTTTGTATTTATTCTCATTGGTATTACTACCAGGTTTATGTCAAGAGAGGAAATATATTCTTATTTATTTTTACCTTTGTACACCAAGCCCCCTCCTCACTTCATATCCTTTACAGTTTTCTTCTGCCTTTCTACCTTTAAACATATATTTCTTCTTTTGCTTTTTATTTACAATTTACCTCTTGATGAACTATTTTAATAAGACCTATGATTTATTCTTTCTTTTTCTCTGCTTATGTATCTCTTCTTTGGCTGACTTTGGGTGTCTATGGGGATTCCTTTTCTTCCTTCTTTCCTTCATTCCTTTACTTTCTTTCTTTCTCTCTTTCCCTGTTTGGTTTTCTTTTTTTTTTTTGCCCTCTCTAAGAGATGACGACAAGAGTTTCGCTCTAGAGTCTCTTAATCGTTGGCAACAATCCTGCAGCGTTTGATGAGCCTATCTCTGTGAAGGTATTACTCGAAGTTTTTGAGAAGCCGCCAAGACTTCCAATTGATGTGAAGTTTGTGTGGAACCCAATTTGGGATTTCCCTGTGGAGCAGGAGTTGGATGCATTTGAGGTTGGGCCGCTGACAACACTTGGGAGGGATGAGCTAACGCTTCAGAGTGACCCTCCCGACTTTGCAAAGATTCCTGACCCTACCGGGCCAACAACGTTGATCATCACCTTCAGTTACGATGGCAGGGAGTTCCTCCATTTGGGTTACAACGCCATAGTGACATGCGAGGGGGAAATGCCTGATGTCTTTTTTTGGATGCAGGACAACTGCGGCGTCATCTTACACAGTGCTTTCCGAAACAGACAATGATTGTATGGGACACTGATGACTGCAACGGTGGTAATGATAATGGTGATGATGATGATGAGAGTAGATTCAAAGAACTGACGGGGTTTTATTTTTATTTTATTTTGCCCTTCATGAAGTTCTCTCCCTTTCTTATTTTATTATGAAATTTTCAGAATTTATTCCCCTTGCTCTCTCTCACACTCCATTATTGCAGAAAATAGGGAAACAGTTACCATGTTAATGGTGATTGGACCAGATGATTCCTCACTTTTTGAGTATGGTAAATCGCTGAAGGGTGACAGCGCACACTTGTCACAACAGTTAATGTTGTACTCCTCCTTAGATCTCCTTGATGATGTCCTCTGGACCACAGGTGATTTCCTCCTCCCTGCATTTGACCGAGCATTTGATGGGAAGTACTTTGTTTCTGCCTATGTCGGTTTCGCCCCTGTCAAATTACTACTAATGCAGGCACAAGAACCCAATAAAAACACACGACAATTCCTCAACGAGGCGTATGAGCTATGTGTGCGGTACTTACTTAACCCTTTTTCGTATCCGAAAAATTCCTTTCGCTCTACATTAGAGGAAAAACTGCGACGTGTATATGAAAGGTATTTTTAGGTGTTACCATGAAGTATGAAGGACAACAGAAAAAAAAAAAGATTGTTGAAGGAAGTGTTGTGAATAGGTAGATGGTTCCTTCTCCTCTTTGCTACATCCTACATGTCCTCTTCTTTTTTTTTTTTTTTCTAAACCTTCATATACAATGGTGAAGGGAGTAAAACCAACACAAGAAACATTCTTAGAAAAAGAGGTATAAAGATAAAATGGGAAAATCAATGACATTTAAACCAGAGATTATTGTGTGCGAGGCACCAGAGGAGCTCAGTCGCGTTTCGTGCAAAACTATCCTCGATATCATTGACCAGTCAAAGCGCGAAGTGTGGCCGTTGTCACTGGCTCTCTCTGGTGGATCTACACCAAAGATGTTGTACAAGCGTCTGCATGACGAACACCTACAACTACTTAGGGATGAGCGACCTTTGCGCTTCTTCTTGGGGGATGAACGACTTGTCGCAACGGATGCTGCAGAGTCAAATTACAATATGGCAAGAGAAGTTCTTTTGCGTGATATCCCTGATGATCTTGTGGTACCTGTTGATATTAGTGTACTCGAAACCACACCGGCGAAGGATGCCGCAAATGCTGTTAAGGTGGCAGATGCGTATGCAAAGCGACTCAGTTCCCTTCTTCCAATGCATACCGTGCAAGAAACCAATACACAGATTCCTATATTTGACATTATCCTACTAGGCCTTGGTTCAGATGGACACACCGCGTCTGTTTTTCCTGGAACTGAGGCTGCAAAGGAAGTGCACCGCGCGGTTACCGTGAGCTTTCCAGGTCCAACAATGAACCCAAAGGTGTGGAGAATTACACTCACACCAACGACCATTATTCACGCACGGCACGTAATTGTTCTTGCAACAGGAAGTGAGAAGAGATGGGTATTAAACGGTATAATAGCAGAGAACGAGTCCTCTGAGACACCTGTTTCACGTTTTCTTCGGGACTGTAAAGGGAGGGTCACATTTTTACTTGACAAGGAGATTGCAAAGGATATCAATTTGTAGTTTACTCTATCTCTCACTCTCTTTTTTCAATGTACCTGGGTTTTTTTTTTAAAAAAAGGGAATAGTATGGGACTTCTCTATGAGACAAATTTCCTTCATTGGATATATTTTGTTTGGCATATTTTACAAAAAATCTTTCAGAGGAAAAATTTCACTTCTTGAGAGTCCAGGTATGGCGAGCAATATTTGGTAGTAGTTTTCCTGTTTTTGTTTTTGAGGATCATTGTTTTTCTAGGCAGAGGAATGGAGGGATAAACTGTTTTTTTCATTCGATTAAAGTCTCTGGTGAATTTCCTTTTCTGTCGAGGCTTCTTTGGGTAATAAGATCTTGATAGGTAGCATTTTTTTTTTTTTTTTGATAGCTATGTATACATGTGTAATAATTTACATTTGTGATGAGATATTTATGCTGCGTTTTTTCTTGATTTCTCTTGGGGAGAGTGGTGAGGGAAATTTTGATTTTCTTTTCATAGTGGTTCAGTTTATTTTTTTTTATTTTTTTTGGATTACTGTAGATTGTGAACCCAAAGCCTACAACAGATCAAGTGTCAAAAATAATAGCAGTTCTCTAGTTGGACAGATGGTCTCACTGTGAAGCATCTCTTAAAGAACGTAATATTACTATCGTGTAGCCTAGGGTATTTTAAAATGGCTCTTCTTCCCTCTTTCTACAGAATGAAGGAGAGTGAAGAAGAATGTGGTCCTATTACAACAAGCATTGTTTACCCTCGTATCGCTGGACCATGGAGAATTCTTGCTAGGGTTCAGTGTATCATGTTGATCTGGGAAGTCAAGAGTCAGGGGTGTTTTTCTTATGAAATACTCATTGACGCTCAAGTTAAAAAACATTGTATATTACCGGAACCAGTCATATCCTCCTGGAAGAGAAACTGATACTTGAAGTTCTTCTTGCAATTATCAACATAGTGCTTCCAGTATCGCCCACATCAGGTTTGGTACTGAGAGGTGATGTAAAGGAAAAACCTTGTCCCTTTATGATGAGAGGTATGGAGTTGAAATTTTGACTGAACGCACTCAGTCTAATAGGTTTATTCTTCATAAAATACTTTTCTATCACCTTTACTCGAACCCTTTTAAAGAAAAACGAACCAACTCAACACCTCAAATACATATGTACCTTAATTAAAGGTTACTCTTTCCCATAGAGGAGAAACGTCCAAAAGACGATGAACCAGCAATACCAGAAGGAGGGATGGAATTCCCCTATGGCGGGTGTGATGAGGTAGCGCGTTCCCAAGCGGGTTTGGGGTCCCGTCTCTGATGGAGGCACCCAGGGGACACATAACAAGATAAACCCGGCACTTGTTAGGAAAAAAAAAAAAATAACCACAACCAGCATCGCTGAGCTGCAAATTTTTCCAGAGAAAGAGAGAGTTTGGTAAGATAGAGAGGTTGTATTACAAGAGAATAGGGAAATGTACCGGCGCAGTTCGTCACCACGAGTGTGTGAGTACCTTCACTTTAGGCTTAATGTGTGGGGTGCACTGAGCGTTTCACACTCATCAAGTATTCCTTAATTATTTATTGCGGAAAACCATCACAATGGATTAGGAATGCCCGTCAAGGATAATTCCTGGCACTCATAAAGAAAAGTAGACCCCACGTGGGATCTTTAGGCAAAAGTTTCTCTGACCATGAACCCCTCAGTATGTGAAGAAAATAGGGTTTACTCTGCACCTTATCTCACTACAAGAGTATCAACACATTCACGTCTAAATTGACCAATACGTTTTTTTTTTTTTTTTTTTTTAGGAGCTTGTTAAAAGAATGTGTAACTGGTTTTGGTCTACTATAATAATTTGTGTTTGAGGTTTGTTTTACCTTCTTCTCCTTTGGGTTTGTAGTTGTAGTCAAAGAGTCTCGGCTTTATCGAATAGAAAGGATTTAAGTTTTTGGTTTTTTTCTTTTCATTCTCACCCACCCCTTATCCCCTCCACGCGGAGGGTTCTGGAGAGGAAGGGACTCTAGAATTTGTCACTTCGTAAGTCCTGTTGGGAGATCCTTTGGCGGTATAGAGAATTTGATTCTATGTTTTGTATATTGCGTGTTGTTGTTTTTATGATAAGTATGTGTGTTATGAGATCATTTGGAACTTCATAGATTATTTGTTTTCTCTATTTGTTTCTCTTTATTTGTTTCCATTGACCAAAGTAGGAAAGCATATTCGCTGTAGATAAGCCGTTAGAAGCGTTTTTCTATCAAGTCTATATTTGCTGTAAACATGATGAAGCATCCACTCTTTCAGGTGGTGCTACTGCTGCTCATTTGCGGTGCTGTTGGGTGTGTTGCTGTGGAGCTCACGAGTGCCCATGACCGCGTTGCTGAGATGAGCAGTCC